CTTATCCAGTACTGATTTAGTCAACTATGGTGACCCCATGTGTGTCAGCGTAGAACTGTGCTCCACTGGGGTTTGGACACTGGAATTTTCAGAAGTACATTGCCAAGCCTTCCTTCCAATGGGGCCTTAAGTGGATTCAAACTGACAACCTTTCATTTAGTTGCAGAGTTCCTTTACTGGGTGCACCACCCAGAACCTCCTTGAGAATAACTATAATATGATTATGATCATATTCCATGGATGTGTGAAGCCTAAACAGATTTTAGTGCTAAGAAATGTTTCTATAGGTTTTTCTTATTGGCTCTTTCCCCGTAATGCAAACACATTCATCAAAGGAGTGTCCCCCTGAAGCACAGGAACAGTTGAAGGGAAGCCATAGTCAATTTTAAGAGAAGAGAATCTATTTCACATGAAGCTATAATGACAGACACATGACATTTTAAATTTGTCAAAACCTGTACGACGATACAATGCAGAGTGAATGCTACCGTAATCTAAGAACTCTAGTTAATAGTAATACCATATTGGCTTATCAATGGTAACAAGCACACTGCTTCACCACAAGGCCTTAATAGGAAGGGAAACCGTGCCAGGAAAGGGGGTATACAGAAACACTCGGAGATTTCTGCCCTTCTTCTATCCACCTAAAGCTGATCTAAAAAATAAAGTATATTTTAAAAATGAATCTTCTCTAGAGTTCAGTGTAAGAAGAAACAGAAGATATTAATTGATTTATGAAGGCAAAGGCCATTTCTGTTTGAGTCCTTATGAATATTTGATTCTTTAACATTTTATTTTACAGAGAATGAATAAATTAGCAGGAGCAACAACAACAACAAAACAAGTTTGCCAGTCAAAAATAAATTATCTAGAAAGGGTGTCTAGGAAAAGGTGAGGCCTAAAGGCTGAATGTGCCAAAGTATTTTCTAGAGAAGAGTATTACAGTCCCAGGAGCAGTTTCTGGGTCTTTACATCTTTATCAGGGACATTTGGAGCCCGAGCTATGAAGTAGGTTACATGTTGGGATCTAACACCAAGGGCAAAATTTTAAAACTGCTAGCCTTTTCAAAGGAGAAAGATGAGGCTTTCTACCCCTGTAACGATTTACTATGGATAACCTTGAGAAGAATGGGAATTCCAGAACACTTCATACTCATTTAGCATTTGTACACGGATCAAAAGGCATTGGAGGAACAGGCCAAGGAAATACTGCATGTTTTTTTTTTTTTTAAGTGTGAACTAGTGTTGTATTCTCTCAGCATGTTTGTTCAATCCGAATGCTGAGCAATCATCAGAGAAGATGGATTATAGGAGGAAGAATGTGGCATCACGATTGGAGGAAGGCCTGCGGTCTGCAGATGACAAAGCCTTGTTTGCTTAAAGGGAGGAGGACTTGAAGCACTTGCTGATGAAGATCAAAGATTGCAGCTTTCAGTATGGATTACAATGCAATGTAAGGAAGACCCACATCCTCACCACTGGACCAGTAAGTAACATCATGATAAATAGAGAAAAGGTTGAAGTTGTTAAGGATCTTGTCATACTTGAATCCACAATCAATGCTCACGGAAGCAGCGGTTATGAGGTCAAAAGACATATTGCATTAGGTAAATCTGCTGCACAAAATCTCTTTAGAGTATTGAAGAGCAAAGATGTTACTTTGAGGACTGAGTGGCACTTGACTCAACCAGGGTATTCTCTGTTGCATCATAGGCATATGAAATTTGGACATTGAGTAAAGATAACCAGAGGAGAATTGATGCCTTTGGACTGTGGTGCTGGTGAAGAATATAGAAAGTACCATGGTCTTTAGGAGTGTTTTCCAGTCTAGTCTGTTGGAGCACCATGCCCTGGCCCCAAAGTCTGCCTTCAGCATTCCCTGGGGATCTTGCTTCTCCATTCCCTTGCTGTTCTGCTGCACTGATCCCCCAGTGTGTGGTGGGATCAGATCTGGTGCAATTCCCACACTGTGTCTCTGGTGCTGTCCCCAGCAGGGCCATGGGTCAGTGAGGGGCATCATGTCTCATAGTGGGGCTGGCCATTTGGTCCTCTCTGTGGACTGGCTGCTCTAATTGGGGTCATCGT